ACGCCCGGGGGGGCTGTGGGCTGCATGTGACAGGAGCTCTGTGGTCCACCCATCTGCCAAGGGGCTGGAGCCTGCGGGTGAATTCCCAGGCCCCTAACAGCAGGGACTGCCGCTGGCTCTGTGCCGGGCTGTGGGGCGGCCTGCCCGGCCCTGTGGTAAGTCTCCCTGTCACCCCCACGCAGTACAACGCCTGCACCCTGCACGGCGGCAAAGGCCAGGAGCAGCGAGAGTTCGCCCTCTCCAACCTGAAGGCCGGCGCGAAGGACATCCTGGTGGCCACGGACGTGGCTGGCCGTGGTATCGACATCCAGGACGTCTCCATGGTGGTGAACTACGACATGGCCAAGAACATTGAGGGTGAGTCCCGGCCTTGGGGGGACACAGGGACACACAGGGAGTGGTGGGGTGCAGGGCTGCGTGGGGGCTTTCCCCTCGCTCGGTGCTGACCCCAGGACCAGCCCACCAGAGGGGCCCTCCGCTGCTGCAGGCTGACGGGGACCGCGTCTCTGGGTTGCAGAGGGATGTTTCCTCTGTAGAGGCCCATTGCCCCACCTCCTTCCCGACTTCACTTCCTGTCTGCACATTCTCCAGCTTTCGGAGGAGGCAAACCAGAGGGTCGTTAGATCTCAGGGCAACTGATTAATCCTGACATCTGGCCGGAATTCCAGCCTGGGTGACCCGGTTCTGTCTTCCTGAAGCAAGAGTGGCATGGCCATCACCTTCCTAACCAAGGAGGACTCCACAGTCTTCTATGACCTAAAGCAAGCCATCCTGGAGAGCCCCGTGTCCTCCTGCCCCCCGGAGCTGCCAACCACCGCAGAGCCGGCAAGAGTGGCATGGCCATCACCTTCCTGACCAAGGAGGACTCCACAGTCTTCTATGACCTAAAGCAAGCCATCCTGGAGAGCCCCGTGTCCTCCTGCCCCCCGGAGCTGGCCAACCACCCAGATGCCCAGCACAAGCCAGGCACCATCCTCACCAAGAAGAGACGGGAGGAGACCATCTTCGCGTGAGTCCCAGGCCAAGGGACTTGGGCAGCTGGGTCCTGGCTGCCATCGGATTCA